AACCAACAATCGCTTGTAATGTACCTTTATATAGATGTTGTTTAATTTATTATCCCCATACTGACAGTGACGTGACAATTGATATTAATGATATATTACATGGGAACGCACGCATCGGCCTATAGGCATGTTTACCTTAATTCCAAATTCATAACGAATTACGTCGAGATGGGATTCGACTACTCGTGTATGCGTCCTAATTATAATTTGGGTTACATGTGGTTCGTTTAAATGCGGAATATCCCAACTAGAAAGCTTTGACCACACCAACAGTTCTAGACTGATTACAAGGACATCCACACTATTCAAAACAATAATATCGATGAATTTGTTTTGAAATTGAAAATATGTGAGGTCATTTCTTTAAAGAAATATTCCAATGGATCCAAAATTGCCATACACGTACCAGTCTATGCGACATCCATTGTGGGGGTCTGAAAGCGAGATGAAAACAGTCGATACGAACGCGTTGAATTGGCGAAGCGAGAACGACGAATGGACAACACACTTGTGATACTTAATAGGCGACAAGAATATGGTAATGGTTTATCACATCTCACTGTTGTCATGCATGCCGTGAATATAACACAATGCTCGAAGAATGCTCTATCAATGTAAAAGAATATAACGTTTTTTTTGTATCACTTTGTATCATTTATTCAACTTTAAATCAGCACTTTGCAGTCCACCATCTTGATTCTCTAGAAAAGGATTATGGGTAAAGTGTGATATTATAGCCGTTGTTGTGAAAATTTCAGAAATGTTTTCATCTTGTTACTGTGCAACGACGGATATGCACAGCTGCTGTCCTGGTCCCTGATGTTCCCAAGCACAAAGATACTTTATCCATCCGAACTAGTAAGCGAACGTGCCAGAATGGATATTAAATAAGATACAACGATGTTCTGATGTTTAGGGTAATATTATATGAAGTAAATACGACGGTGCAACCGCCACTGAAACGTCGCGTCTGTGAAGCCTGGGTGGTCTACTCTGTGTACGTTTCACTTGCGCGTTCATCGTGTGTGCGCTTGCGCATATCGCGTGCCCTGGTTTCAACAAACCGGAAAGTAGGACAGATTTTGAATATTTCGAATGCGCAGTATCGCAATGCACCAAACATCACAGTTTCCAACTCACTACATAAAATTCCCCCTGAAATAAAATTGCCACCATCTTTCAGACTAAGCAAGATTAACGAGCATGCAAATTATCTTTGGCTATAGCGTAATATTTTCATATTTTTTCCGGGTATTTTTGTCACGGTCATATTTTACTCTGTGAAACAAACGTACCATTTTCAGTCCAAAATTATCTGTTTCAACTGGAAATCCAAGTTTGTCAGCTGTCTTAAATAGTTCTTCTAAATGCCCTCATTTGTACTCACGCACATGCACTCCGCTATCTTTAAACAACCGTTTAAAATATGCCGCTGACTTCTTCGTGTTGCATGTCGTCCGGTGCTCTTTTGACTTTATATATTTATGACCTACCCTCTCATTTTACTCGGTAGGTTACAGAATAACATCTCGTTTGACGGTAATTCGGGAATTATAATAATGTTATACTCGTTACATTGATACTTGCTCATGTTTTACACATGTTTCACACCATTAACTGTGTAGTTCCTCTCGGATATTTTGATGTATTTTCGACAGCAGACAATGTATGTACAAAAACGCATGTTAATAAAATAATATATAAAATAAAATATTACGTACATCAAGTATAAATTTAGTCTTTGTATAGGAGAGCGGATGGATGCGATGCACGTTAGATGTCTTCGTTGTAATAAAATAATAACCTATTATCATTCGGGAAATATCACGACCATGTGATATTATTTAATAACGACAAAAACATGTTTTTGCACGTGAAGAAACACTCACATTCCAACGATTTAAAAATAAAAAGATAATCATCCTAAATTTGATTTTGTTATATAGACTTGTAAAAACTGTACTGTAAGCACAGATGTAAGCAAAAAGCAGAAAAAGCAAATTATGTAGTCCAGCTAGATATGTCATTGAAATATAATTATGAAATTGTTGATGTAAAGTACATATCTGAATGTGATTAAAGTGGCCAAGTGACTTTCGCATAACTATGAAATGTTTCTAAGTTTTGTTGAAGATTATTCTGTAAAGAATACGTTGAAATTATTTCATCTGTTCGCAAAAAGGGCGTTGCTGCTTTGACGATGGGCTATAAAAGACTGACATCGAATCGTTCCATTCAGATCGGATGGCGCCCTCTCGTACCAATCCTCCCTGCTTTGTACAGTGATAAGTAACGCGAACTGTACGGAGTTCGGCATTAGGTATTAAGCTCATGGAATGGGTTCACAGTTCCCTCCTCGACACGCCTGAGCTGATTCTCGTTGCCATTGACAACACATACACAGAAATAGACATATCTGTAATGTTATATGTATACTAGAATTGAAATGAAGTGAAATCGGATAAAAAAATGTTCCTGTCTAGTTTTTCTTAGATGCTCAGCAAACTGATCACCTAATCGACGAACTGTAAAACTAATACAAAGTTTCCCGCATTTATTCTATGAAATGAAAAAAAAATACAGCATTTCTGGTAATACAACTAAAATCAAATTTGACCAAAATATCTCTTTCGGGACTAAATACCCCATTAGAGACAGTAATGATATACTCTATTGTCGTGAGTGTTAAATGTATAATAACATCTAGTCAATTTCAGATCGCTGACGTGTTATATTCTCATTTACATATTATTTAAAATATAGCATCTACGAAGGGATGTGACAACCCACCGATGTTAAAATTTAACACGCACGCCAATGTTATCAGCGACACGGACACAGCAAATTTATTTGAAACCAGGACTATCAATGTCTCTGTTATTTCCATTACCCAAATGAAATGACTTCATTAATACGATTTGTGTTTTCACATATTCCAATTAACATATCACAATAGCATACAATGGATAAACGATGGTTAACTATGACATCACGTATGGAGAAGAGATAATACTCGCTCCCAAAGCAATCGATGGCATAAATTTTACAATAATAAAACAACATACCAGGATATTCTAACGACACGTACATTGGCGTGTGAAGGTAGATGTCAAGGAAGTTAGGGACGCCAGCAATATTAACTATAGATATTCATTTTGCATTTGCAGCAAAATACGTATTATTTGGCTATGAATAACT